TCGTTTTAAAAAATTTACTTCTATGTATATATATATATATATATATATATATCAATGTGCATTTATCTTAATAATATTTCATAGAATTTTAAATGTCTGGGACTGTTTCTGTTGATGTTGATTTATTGAAAGCACAAGAATGCCAACCTGTCATTACAGAGCAATTTTTTAATATTTAAAACTGATAATTAATTATCCATGGTAATTTTTAAATTAAACAATAAATTATTCGCTAAGTTGCTTTTGTTCCAAACTTTAAAACAAGTCTCTATGTTTTTAGTTGTGCAAAAATTAATGATAAGTAAGTATAATTGTATACTAAAAATATTATAAGGACTGCTTCAAATTAATCTGCCATAAAAAATAAAAAAAACAGGTTTATACACAAAGAAAAATTGTGTCAAAACTGTAAAATAGTTTTTTTTTTTGTGTTTAGAACATACCATATTGTACAAGAACAAATATGTGAATCTATTTGGCTTTTCTTCTTTTTATTTTATTTTAATTAACAATGCTTTAACAAAAAAATTTTTAAAAAAAAACATAAATTTGTTTGTTCTAAATTAGGAACAGTCTACTAGTTATCTACATAATTCAGGCATATAGCTTTACCTGCTGCTTGCATTGTTCCAACTTTTTTGAGAGTGAAAAAAAAAGCTCCTAAAATTGCCTTACGCACATATATATATATATATTTATATCAGTTGGGCAAAATAATTTAAACACTTTTATACTGACTCATTTTTTATATTTCTCAAAAAATACTTAGAGAATTATTTTAAAACTTAAGAAATGTTTAAGTCTTGCAATTTCTCATACATATCAATAAAGTTCAAATCTTTTAGAGCTTTGAAGGACTGGCAATAAATTATAAACGAAAAAATGCTTTCCACAAACTATGCCGAAAAAAACACTGAGCTAAACATGTAACTAATGTCAATTACATTGATTATTATATAAAATAACTGCTCAAAATTTAGTCAACCTAGTATAAATATTCTTCAAGACCTAGACATTTTTGTAAAAAAAATTTTGGGCATAGGTTTTCATACTATAACTGCATAAATATTTAATAAAATTAGCTAAAAAATTTTAGAGTTAATAATAAACATGGTGCATAGTGTTTTTAAAAAGTGCTTAAAGGTGCTTATTTTTGATTTTCTTTTTTTAAACGCCCTTAAAGGTGTTTTTTTTTCTTTGGGTGTTTTTAAAAAGTACTTAAGTTTCCCTTTTCCAAAATGAGATTTTTTCTTTACCGTGTCTATTTTCGTCACGTGTTATGCAAAAGCGTGCTTTTCACATTGTTCTATTCAGTGTTTTCACAATCTATTTTGGTGTACCGTCAGTCCATAGCCTATGAAAGCGCCATTTTATAAATTTGATGAAGTATATTCTCAATTTCAGGCTTCATTTTCCACCCTCTGATATCGAACTGAAAAATCTGTCGAGTATTTTATGATGGGTAATATATATAATTTAGAAAAGCGTTCCTTGTCAAAAACTAGTTATTTTACCATGATCGTGCAAAGTCTTTGAAGGTTATATTGAATTTTATTACTACTGCTACTAAATTCGCGATTNAAGATGAAAATACATACATATTTGAAACTAGGTGATTGAGATACCCCAAATTCAGTGCGGACCCCTTAATATCCCTGTCATATTTTTAACATTCTCCACCAACCGACTTTCAGTTTGCAGCAGCAGGGCAACCCCCTGATTACGTCAGATTTGTTATTTTTATAATCCTCTATCAACCCCTCATTTTTTATGAGCCGCCCCTTTGCTCTTTTCTCTTAGATATGCCAGCAATCCTCCATAATGTGAGGAAAAGAACATTCGCAAACCATAAAAATATTTAACATTTTCAAAAACACAAAGTAGCCTTCGAATTTTATTTCAATTGAAAATAAAGTAAAGTAAAAATAATTAATGATTTTTGCAATAATTTTTTTACAGGGGGTGGTCTGTGACTTCTTAAAATTTTTTAAAAAGGGTCCATTATACCAAAAAGGTTAAGAAACACTGCTCTAAATGATAAGGAATTTTCCACAAATATTATTTTGTATCATAAAGCAAAATGTGATGGTATCGTGAAATAAAATATACTTTAATAGGGTGTAGTCCGATATAATGTTAATGTCATTTTTTAAAAATCTTGTTTAATTGTACAAAAATAAATTTGATTAAAACTCCTTACCAAATCTTTCTTTCAAAAATTAACAAACACTATTTAGAAAACTGCTAGAAACTTTTTAAATTTTCAAAATATCCAAATCAGACTTTTTTCAGTCAATTAAGATTCAAAGCAAAATTATGAAGGAAAAAAAAATGTTTTTCATACGTAAACAGTATGAAAATATTACTCTAAATACTCATATCCTGTGCAATCTCTTAAGTTTTTTTTAATGATGTCTTTATTATTAATTATAAAAAATTAGAATTTTATTGAACATTACTGCAGGTATAGTTATAGTAAAAAAACTAGTTTTTAATAAAAATATCCATACCTTCATGAATATTTACGCTAAATGTATGAATTTGTGTTCAGTTATTTCATATGATAACGTAATTGACGTTACTGGCTTATCACTGTATTTTTTGGCAAAGGGTGTTGAAAATCTTTTTCATTCGTAAATTATTCACAAACAATAGAGCAGTCAGACATGAGCGTCAGGAATTAGGATCTGGAAATTATTTTTAAGGAAAGCAATAAAATGTCCATATACAGTCAAATACTTTTATTTCTGATACTTTTTTTCATGATATAGTTTTTAAATATTTTATAAAAAAAATTTCTTATTAAATCCAAGTTAGTATAAGGGAAAATTGACAGTCGCCACAAAACTGCTAGATAAAAAAAAATTATTATAACCTGATTGCCACTTTTTTTCCCCAAAAATGCAAACTTTTGCTCAAAAAAGACATACCTTAATTTTTATTACAGATGTAAGCTGTAATCATCCACTTAACATTCAGGATATTTGGCACTAGTTCCAAATTTCAGGAGGCTGAAATCATACACTAGGTTTAATTCTTGTTCAAGTTAGTTTCATATTTGAAACCAAAAAAATTACAGTCGATAATATTTAAAGGTAATCTAATTAATATAATTTCACCATTATAATTATGAGATTTTTTTTGTAATGAATAAATTTATCTTTGTTAATAGACATAAATTTTATTGGTTTTCAAAAACTGAAATCCTAAATGTTATTAGTTGAAAACGTTGTATCTGATATTTACTTTTACTACTTGAAGGGGTCTGGTTAACTTTTCTTCATTTTAGAGTTTTTAAGAAATGCTTCATATTAATAATATCAATAATGTTTTTAATAGTTTAGAATTTTTAATTTTTGAAAAAACTGGCTACTATTAAAAATTATACTTCTGGCGACTAATGAAATTCTGTTATTTTGCCTTATTGTTGAGCTCTAAATAACATAGTGTTATATGATTTTTTTTTTAGCATTTAACTAACCATATTTATAAGAATTATCCTGATAAGAATTATCCCTGATAAAATTAAACGTATAATTAAATTAGGATCAGCAATAAATTTATCAGACTCAAAAATTAGTTTATTTAAGAAATGAGAAAAATCAAAATTCTTAATTTCAAAATTTTTAAATACCACGACAAAATGTATGATATTTGGCATTCTTGGTAGCTTACATTTATGTCTTAGTGTTGTTTGTTGCTTGACTAACATAATGAATTAGTATTGTATGGTTTACAATATTCATTCTTAAAACCTAACACCTTTTTTTACTGAATTAGTCTAGTCCCTACACCCTAAATATTTGAAGAAAAAAATTTTCCAATAAGTTGTTTACAAATTTCAAATGTGTGTTTGTTTTTTTAAGTTATATTTTTGTTATGCTAAGTATTATATTGTAAACTTTAAATAAGTTCCACTGTTAAGCCTCTTCAACAAAACTTTGTTTGAGTTGTAATAAATTAAAAACTTTTGGATTTAACAATTATATGTGTTTTGACTTAGGTTGTATTTTATTCTGTTATTTCATTATTTACAGTTTTCTTTACTCTACAATTTGCCCAAAAATTCGATTTTTAAAAACTGTTAATATGTTGTCAGGGCCGGATTAACCTATAGGCACACTAGGCACGTGCCTAGGGCCTACGAAAAACTTGGGAGAAAATTTTTTTTTAAAGAAATCAAACGTAGGGGA